TCTGTTGACTGATTTAATGTAATTTGTATTTATGCAGCGTTGGAGTGTCCACTTATGTGATTGACTGTGTATGTCAGGTGACTCTAGGTGAATGTGTGTCCTTGTAATGTGACTCCAATTCTCTGGGCAACACCAGTAAAGTGCAATGTGAAGTTATTTATTGTGTGGACATTCCTTCTTCAGGATATAAAGATCTACGTCCAGGGATGTTCTGAGGAGGCTTACAGCAAACAGCAGGGCTCAAGATGGCAGGAGGGTCGGTCTTAGCAGGTGGGGTCATGTTCTAGCATGACTGGAGTAGGGGTAGGGCCTTGTGTTTGATACCAAAATCAGCCAACCTCAAAGCCCCCTTACAACCTTCCACCATAGGCATGGGGTCAACTGGCCGAATTTGGTGGTCATCCAAAATCTGTTGACTGATTCAATTTTATTTGTATTTATGCAGCATTGGAATCAAATTAATAGATGCTTTTGTTCTGCTTTTTTGGATGTTATACAAAATAAAAATGTTTCCCTTTAAGAACAACTGAAAGCAGTTAAAAAACACAAGGAAACTGGCAGTAAGGAAACTATAAAATGTCTGAATCAAGAATCAAGTAAACAATAATGGTAGTTTTAAGATAACTGCTGGAAGGTAAGCTGTCATAATTATAGCTCACCAAACTTTGGAAAGGCATGTAACGCAAAAACATTCTTTTTTACCGTTCGATTTGATGTTCTTTAATTCCCTAACCCATTGTTACCTAATACCACTGTTTGTTTTACATTTTCCACTTATTGGCAGTTTGAATACTAAACATGTATGGGGTCTTGTAATGCCTATTCATTAGGTTTAATGTACTGCTCAGTAAACACGTATTTGAGTAAGGCATTCTTATTGCATTAGATGAAACATGCTGATTTTAGAACAGTTGATAAACTCAATCCCTCGTCAGTGGTATGTGCTGGAAGAACTCCCAGAATGGGATTCATGAATAATACATGGCCCATCTCTTTGTGTCAATGAGCTGCCTGCTCAGGATGTGAATATCTCCTTGTTTGATTCTAATGTTTTCTCCAATGGCAACTTTATAATGATCCCCGTGGAAGCTTCAGCAATATGACAAGGCTTCATTCTCAAAGCTAAAACCACTTTCTCTTCTTAGATTACAATGAGCACTTGGGATACTGGCAGTATTTAATTTCCAACCCGGAGTCCTACAGAAAGAATGGAAGGGGGGGAGGAAGGTTCCTGGGTAGAACTTACTTTCATTTAAGGTTTTTTTTTTTTTTTTTTTTTAATATTTGTGAAATTTAGAGTCACAAAAATATATTCTCTGTGTGCATAACCTGCAAAGATTAAAAAAAATTGCACAGTCACTGTATTAAAGTGGAGTTCCAGCCGATTTTGTTTTTATTAAAAGAGAAGAACTGTAGCTGCTGACTTTTAATGAACACACACTTACCTGTCCCGGAGTCAAGCGATGTTCTCACCCATGCCGTCCCTTCTCCCCTTCTCTCCTCCATCGAGCCGACATCTCAACTGTGGGCACCAAGCTGTGACAGATTGCTGCTTCACAGCCGGATGCCCACTGCGCATGTGCGAGTCTCACTGCGCCTCCTTATTGGTCCGTCAGTCTTTTGGGACCTATGAAAGTTCCCAGGAGACTTCGGGAGGGAGGAGGGGGCTGAACTTCCAGCTCACTTTGCCGTGGCGAACTGTCAAAAACAGGCATCTGCTCCCCCCTAAAAGTTGCCAAATATGGCAGTAGAGGGGGGAGGAGGCAAATAAGTGGAGCTTCCACTTTTGAGTGGAACTCCGCTTTAACCCTTTGACGACCAAGGGACGTATTTGTCCCATGTTTTTAATCGCGTGTATCATCTGATTAAGAACTTAAAACTCTTTTTTTTTTTTTTTTTGGTTTGAGTCAAAATTTTAGTTCTTATCAACAAACAACAAATGGATCTAGCTTTTTGCCAATTATTTCATGAAATGGCTTAGTTACAGCAACTGAAGTGTACGAACTTTAAAAAACAAAAAATTGATTCTTTTGGCGTTCCAAAATCTTACGGTCCGTTATACACCTTAACCACCTCCCGTCCGGCCATTGTATATAAACGGCCGGACAGTGGCAGTGCAGGGTCGGGTGGCCGTTTATAAATGGCCTCCCCGCCCCCTGCTTGTGCGCGCTCCCTGGGAGTGCGCAGCACCGCGATCCGGTGCCCGCTGTGTCCTCTGGAAACAGTTGAACACCGATCGTCAGATGGGACCTCTATATGAGGTCCCGATCATGCGATCACTGATTGGCCAATAAAAAGTAAAGGTGCTCATAGTGTAGTATTGCTTAATAAAGATTTATTAAAACCAATGTGTAGAATGAAACACATACATTAATGTGCCTGTAGCCTGTAGATGATGATAAAGGCTGTAAAAAACACCTAAAAGCACTGACCAGTATGAATCAAAGGGTGGCCGCCGGACCTCCTGATCTGGCGGCGTGACGTCAAGGCGTGCAAGGGCTCCTCCTAGACGCATTTCGTGTCAATACACGTCTACTGGAGTGCACCTTTACTTTTTATACCTGGCACTGAGCCTTCATACCTCAGCCCCAGATTTCAGGCTTCTGTGTGTGGATCTGAGGAGCAGTGTGATTTGACCAGAGCGGTATCCCCATACTAGTGAGGGACCACCAGTGTATTTCCAGGCAGCATCCATACAGGACCCCGGCTACTTGTGACCTTTACATGCGCATTGAGATTGCGCTTCTGGTAAGTGGGCAATCTACCTATTCCTTCGTATTGGGATATTGGATGACATCAGAGCTGTTTGAAGTTTTCCTCTGGACCACTCATCTCATTTGATACTGCTGCATTGAACATTTACTGTTAGTATAAAACATAAGGAATGCTGCGCTACATTCAAATCAAACGAATTGTGAATGTGGGATCCCAAGATATCAAATCAAAAAGTGTGACAATATTAACAATATTGACAATGCAAATCTATACGTGCTTGCTGATAATAACAAAAAATCAAATAAATCACTCAAAAGATGTAGAAACACAAAAAACTATATCTATATGTATGTGCATGAACAAAAAATATACACATACACATATAATTAAATCACACGTGCCTATTGTGAAGTGAAAAAATAACCATAATAATGGTACACGCAAACTAATATCTCAAAGTCCAAAAAATATAGAATATTGTAGGTGAACAAAACAGTAAACGGTGCTTCAAATTATACTGTTAGTGACCACAAGTGAAAAAAATCGTGCAGGTTTCTGGGTGTATATAGATCTACGAATCCAACCACCTTCTGGATTAGCCTCTCACCTCATCCCTTCGACCCTTGCGGATCAAAGAGCAGTAGTGGATCCCTCTCACAGATCCTCCAGGCACCAAAGCACTCCAAGACAGCTTTCAAGATGTAATATTCCCACTATGGCTCTTCTCCAGGAAAAGTTGTAATATCAATCTCTCAGAATGAGACAAAGGAATCCTCCCATAGTGTAGTATATTTATTATACCATAGGAACATGTAGCATATTTTAAATAAGAACTTACGTAGCACCCAGTCCACACTAAAGCCTCATGATTTCAGATGAGATATATCTGTTGGATATATCTGTTGGGTGTACAGCTGAATGCACAGGTGTACCAAGATGGCCGCCACGCCGGAAATACGTCACCGCCCTTTATTGTTAGTCATTCACTTTAAAAGGACAATTTATTTATTTTATAGCGCTGCACTTTCTATTTTTTGTTGAATTTATACAGAAAGGTTTTGTGGTTCCTTTAAGTCCAATAGCCGCTTGAGTGCGCTCACTAATCTGCATATATACAGAACGTTTATTACCCTAATACAGAGAATGCATTAGGGCAAAAAAAAACCTGCAGCCTATATTATTATTATATAGGATTTATATTATTATACAGGATTTATATAGCCCAAAAGTTTGCTCAGCGCTTTACAATATAATGGGAGACAATACAGCAACAATACAGCTCAATACAAGAGGGATAGGAGGGCCTTGCTCCTTGGAGCTTACAATCTATTATAACCACTTTAATTGTTCCTAGGGCCACATTTACACTTGTGAATGGGCTTGACATCAATTACATGTTAGAACCCCAGTGGGGGTTCCCAGCAATAAGCTGCAGGAGGCAGCCCTATTGAAAGCAATGGGAGTCTGCCAATTCCCATGGCCACTTGTATGTAATTGCTCATGCAGAAATTGGTCTTGCATGCAGTCTGCATCCAGGGCCAATCACCCCATGAGCGATACATGCCACAAGTGGCCTCAGAGGCCAGAAGCCTCCTATTGTTTCCATTGGAACTGCCTCCTGTAGCTTATTGCTGGGAGCTCAGCAGGGGTTCTCACATGTAATTGGTATCAGACCCAGTGGGGACTCCCAGCAATTAGCTACAGGAGGCACCACCATTGACAGCAATAGGAGGTTGTTGTTCCTGTGGCCACTTGCATTTATCGCTCATGGGGTGATTGGCCTTGGATGCAGATTGTCTTTGTCCAGGGCTGATCGCTGCATGCGCAGTTACATACAAGTGGCCATGGGACTCAGCAGCCTCCCATTGCTTTCAACGAGGCTGCCTCCTGCAGCTAATTGCTGGGACCCCAGCTGGGATCCAAGCATGTAAAGGGCATCAGGCCCATTCACGAGTATGAATGTGGCCTAATGTGTTGGAATAGAGACCTAAGGGCTTAAAATTTCAAGTCCTGAGCTACTAGCCAGGCCTTAGAGTTACTCCACCACCACCAACAAACACACACAAACAGAGACACCGGTACACACACACACACAACCATGTACATACACATACACACACATACACATACAGAAACATGTACACACACGCACAGACACATGTACACACACACATACAGACACATGTATACACACACAGGCATGTAGAGACACGCATACACACAGATACATGCACATACACAGAAATACATGTACATACACAGAGACACATGTACACACAGATACATGTACATACATACACACAAACACACACATACAAGTACATGCGCACACAGACACATGTACACACACGCACATACATGTACATACACGCAGACACATGTACAAGACACATGTACACAGACACACACACACACATGTACACGTACACACACACAACCTATAAAAAGTTGCAGTACTTCGTTGTTCACTCACAGAGCCGGGTACTGCACTCTAGGGGGAGGCAGAGAGCACAGCACACACTCCTTCCTTTGCTTTCACTGCGATCAGCTATTGAGCAGTCTGACGGCTCCCAGTGCCACTGACAGATCTGGCCTGAGCTCCGAGCCTGCTCGGAAACACACTCGCCGCCATAATTTCCACTTGCCATTGGCAAGCAGGCGAGTGGAAATTTCAAGCCCTGCCTTAAATTATAAGCTGCTTGAGAGCAGAGACTGATGTCAATGCACGATATGTAATGCGCTACATAAACTGTCAGTGCTATATCAATACTTACACATAATAAACTAATAATGTCTTTTCCTGTGTTACCGTTTGTGAAAGACCTTTTGAACCGCAGCTTGTATTCAGGAGGAGTAAGCCCATTCATACATCAATATCAACGGATTTCCAAACTTCTGCAGCAATTTAGAAGTGTTTTACATAGAGTTCAGTAATAGGCACCCTCCTTAGATGCCGTATCGCCGCATCGAAGAAAAGCACTTTGAAATCTGTTTGGTTTGATGACCCGTGATTTTTTTTTTGCACAAAAACTGTAAGCAGGCCCTTAGTCCGTCAGGTGAAAGAAAGATAAGAAAAATCTTTAAAGAATCACACATCATTAAAATCATTCACCTGACCTTGTCCCGAAGAAGAACATCAATTAGGTCTAGGAAATTCCATCCATTTTTAATAGGAAATATTACATTCTAATATGTTGGCGGAATTATAACGTATAAGGCCAGCTGGGATGACTCACACCAGCAGACGGCTCAGTAGAAGATATAATGTCGAAGGGAGTGTGCTTTCCATTATATAACTTTCTCTTGCAGGTCATAAATACCATCCGCCAAATTACAGGGATCACTCAAGCGAAATACCCTTGTGTCATTCCGCTATATATCAATGACAATCCCCATGAGAAACTTTAGCAATGGCTTCTGATCAAGCTATTAAATTGTGCAGAGGCAATCTTCCTATATTATGGGAAAGTCTGGCTTGTCTGAGCGTCAGCCATGTTGAAATTCCGCTCTGCTGTTTAATCATATAGGACCGCCAGCGGGTAGCAACAATAAAAACATATTGGCTTTAAAATTATGATTTTTTTTTTTTTTTATCAGATGCTTGTGAAGGATACTACCATTATATGTGCATATACACATTTGTTTTAGACCGCGTTCCAAATTATTATGCAAATTCTATTTTAAGTGTCACAAAGATGCATTTTTTTATGTAGTTTTTGTTTCTCAGTGTAACTCATGGATGGCATTGTGTGTCAGGGCTCTTTTGATCACTGAAAACAATCTCGGACGCCTGTGATAATTAGATTGGCCGGTGAGCCCAATTTAAGGAAAGCCGGTCTAAAACTACTAAAGGAGGGCGTTCCACATTATTAAGCAGAGCGCCATTTTCAAGCAATATCCCGCCTGTTCCGGTGGGGAAGAAAAAGGATCTCTCTGCAGCCGCTAAGGAGGTTAAGTGTCAATGCAATATTTGCAATGCAATATTTTGTTTTTTCAGGAGAGCGCTCATGGATGGCATTGTGTGTCAGGGCTCTTTTGTTCCACATTATTTAAAGCCAAGATCAAAGATAGTTCAATGCCTTGGACAAAGTATGAAAACATTAGATATTTCACGAAAACGTAAACGTGATCATCGCACTATTTAGAGATTTGTGGCTGATTCAGAGCACAGATGGGTTGGTGCAGATAAGGGGCACATTGAGGAAGATTTCTGCCAGATCCATGCATTGGATCAAGAGAGCAGCTGCTAAAATACCATTACATAGCAGCAAACAGATATTTAAAGCTGCTGGTGCCTCTGGAGTCCCACGGACATCAAGGTGTAGAGTCCTCCAGAGTCTTGCAACTGTGCATAAACCTTCTATTCGACCACCACTAACCAATGCTCACAAGCAGAAACGGCTGCATTGGGCAGAAAAATACATGAAGACTAATTTTCAAACAGTCCTGTTCACTGATGAGTGCCGTGCAACCCTGGATGGTCCAGATGGATGGAGTAGTGGACGGTTGGTGGACGGCCACCCTGTTCCAACAAGGCTGCAACGTCAGCAAGGCGGTGGTGGAGTCATAATTTGGGCCCGGAATCATGGGAACAGAGAGGGTCGGCCCCTTTAGAGCCCCCGAAGGTGTAAAGATGACCTCTGCAAAGTATGTGGAGTTTATGACTGACCACTTTCTTCCCTGGTACAGAAGGAAGAACTATGCTTTCCGTAATAAAATCATCTTCATGCATGACAATGCACCATCTCATGCTGCAAAGAATACCTCTGCATCAATGGCTGCTATGGGGATAAAAGGAGAGAAAGTCATGGTGTGGCCTCTATCCTCCCCTGACCTCAGTCCTACTGAGAACCTTTGGAGCATCCTCAAGCAAAAGATCTATGAGGGTGGGAGGCAGTTTACATCCAAACAGCAGCTCTGGGAGGCTATTCTGACATCTTGCAAACAAATTCAAGCAGAAACTGTCCAAAAACTCACAAGTTCAATGGATGCAAGACTTGTGAAGCTGCTATCAAATAAGGGGTCCTATGTTACAATGTAACGTGACCGGTTCAAATGTTTACAAAGTTAAATGTGTTGTTAAAAGTTTGATTGAAATAGCTTTTGATTTCAGTAAATATGCTGCAAACCCAATAAATGACAATTTTCAGTTCTTTACAACCTATAAAGTGTTTTGAAACTTACTGTGCGGAATAATTTGGAACAAAAATCCTGTTATCATTAGGAGGTTTGTTCAATAAAATGTGAATTGTACTCTTAATAGTTGATAACATGAGAATTATGCGACTGTTATTTACATCAATTATTTAGGTAAATGAGAAAAAATATAATTTGCATAATAATTTGGAACACGGTGTAAAGCCCAGTTCCAAGTTTATGTAAAAAAAAAAAAAAACAAGCACTTGTTAAAATAAAAAAAAACCAGTTCCTTCTTCAATACTCATCCTACCTGAGGTGCTGCCCCCAGCAAACTCACTGCTCTGAAATCCTATAACGGGGAGAATGATTCTCCGCCATCTTGAAAAGGAGAAGTATAGGATTGTAAAAAAAAACTTTACATCCATACTCAGATTTCTGCTGCAGATGTCCCATGTAGGCTCTAAGCCCAAGAACTAAGTGATCATGTGACCATTGATTGTTCAGTTCTCAATCTGCTCCAACTGCTTCCCCTCTGCTTCTCTAGGGCTCTCCAGAGCATCAGACTAGGAAGGGGTGGGCACAGCTGGCTCAGGTTCTCAGCCATGCACTGAGAGGTGGAGGGAATTGTCAATCAGGTAGCTAGGTGGATCCCAACAATATTGTTGAGTTCCTCCCAGAGCCTGGAGCTGCTCTGCCCCATCAGTTGATAGCAGGCAAAATTCCACTATCAGCTGACTCCGGATAGCAGGAGACCAAACGTGAGGGCACTTCTGTGACCACAAGAGAAGTATGACAAAAAACTATTGGGGTTACACTCTTTTAAACCAACTTCCTGTGAGATCGAGAAGCCAAAGAAACACTGACTGGGCGTGCATCGTCAAAATTCAGAATTCTTTGTCTAGCTCTTAGATTTTTTGGGCTCGTGGATGGCTCATGGATAACTCATGGAGAAACTAAAAACTTTGGGCAATGCACCATAACATGCACATCTATGGCCCCCCTTCCACAAAAATAACAGCTTTAAATAAATTGGTTGTAAAGGGAAAAAAAGATAACAAACATGTTTATACTTACATGCTCCGAGTGGCCCTGAACCTTCTGCTCTTGGGTCCCATGCTGGGACTCCTTGCTCCTTCCCTCCGCCAAATGCTCCTAAGGGGAAGCCACTTCCCATGGATACTCGTGCTGGCTCACTTCCCAGCCCCAGTGCTTTGTCCATTGACACAGACAGAGGGACTCGCCTCCGTCTCCCTTGTCATTATCTTTGATTGGCTCCCACTGCCTCAGTAAAGCCTGTGAGACCTGGAAGTGAGTGAAGAGAAGAGCTGCAGATGCGCACAGTGCTGGATCAAATGAGGGCTCAGTTAAAGCGGAGCTCCACCCAAAAGGGGATGCTCCGCTTTAAGGACTGTTCCCCATTAAGGATTGGCACCTTTGGGGGGCAGGGGGGAGCAGGTACCCAGATTTGACAGGTACCCGCTCCCACTTCCAGTCCAATCTCCTAGGCAATTGGAAGCGGAAGGTGTCCTCCATCCCTCCCTTCCTGTAGTTTTTTTGGACACGTTACAGGTCCCAGAAGACTACAGGACCATTCACGAAGCACAGCGCTACTCGTGCATGCGCAGTGGGTACCCGGCTGTGAAGCTGCAAGCTACACAGCCAGTTGCCCACACTGAAGAATCCGGCCTCCTGGAATACAGGATGGCCGGTGAAACGGGCTGCGGGGGACACACCACAGGACCGAGGGACTGGTAAGTGGCTGTTTTTTAAAAGACAGCAGCTACAGTTTTTGTAGCTGCTGACTTGTATTTTTTGACAGGGTGAGTGGAACTCCGCTTTAAATATAAGGGAGGGCTGAGGCCAAAACCGTTGCCTATTTAGAACCACTTAAAAAAAAAACTGTAGTAGTAGTATATATACATACCTTACCCATAGTCTCCATGCTGTTGAGTGTGACATCAGGATCCTTCTGGCGAGATCCTATCCCAATCTATCCAAAAGACACTCTAGACAATCTTCCTAGCTAGAAGTTAGTTAGGTATGTTTAATAATTTTGTACCCTACTGTTGTGGGTTTTTTAACACCTTAAACCTGCTAATTATGATGGGGGAGGGTGTCCTGATGCATTAAAGGGTAACTCCACTTTCATGGAATACAAATAAAGAAAATAATAATATAGCATATACAATTGCTAAGCAAGCCATATTGTCATTTAATATTAAATTGACCTTTCCTTTTCAGTCCGCAGTTGGTGTAATTTTGTGTAAAATTCAAGGCAATATAGCAGCCTGGAGGCAATTACTTAGAGAACCCTAAACCTACAGTTGATCCAAGAGAAGGCAAAAAACCTTGACCCATTATTGGATGTCTCTGGACAAGGTGTCCTTGAAGCAGATCTATAAAAATCCCTAACGCCGGAAGACTGGGATCATATCTACAGTACGCACTTATTCACAAGGGCTCCATATGTGTTTCCACTCAGGAAAGCAACTTTAAACTATACTCTAGATGGTACAGAGTTCCATCCCTGCTTCACCAGTTCGACCC